TCAGCAGAGATGTGCAAAATGACTAAAAGACTTGATTTGTCTGAGTCCCAACAGGGGAGCTGTGATCTTGCTAGTTAAATGTTAAAGGGTGTTTTTCAAGCATATTCAGAATTTTCAGAGTTAGGGAGAGGTGTTAACCCTTGCCTCCTACCAGGTCTGTGTGTAAGGGAGTTATGTGAGATAGTTGGATGGATTAGGAGGATGGAGGAAACTAAATCCTGTGCCGCACAAGGATGCTTTCCCTTTACCCCAAATAAGAGAGGTACTGACCAAACTAACCCGAGCTGAATGGTTTTCCACTTTTGACCTAGCCAGTGGCTACTGGTAGATCGAGATGAACCCAAGCGACAGGGAGAAGACTGCATTTACTGCCCCCTTTGGGTTATGGTTATTTGAGTTTGAAAGAATGTCATGTGGTCTCTGTAATGCTCCACCTAAACTACCAGTCAAAAGTTTGTACACCCACTTCTTTAATGTTTATCTTTATTTTTACTACTTTGGACATTGTAGACACATACTAACGACATCAAATATATAAAGGAAGATATCGGGAATTGTGTAGCAAAGAAAAAAATGATACATAACACTAAACATGTTTTATATTTTAAATTCCTGAAAGTAGCTTCTCTTTGCTTTGTTGGCAGCTCTGCAAACCCTCAGCCTTCTCTCAGTGAGCTTCATGATGTAGTCACCTGAAATGGTTTCACCTCACAGGTGTGCCTGTCAGGGTTCATTTGTGGAATTTCTTGCCTAAATGTGGTTGGAACCGTCAGTTGTGTAGTGGAAAAATGAGGTTGGTGCACAGCTGACAGCTCTATTTGACAACTGTTAGAATTCATGTTATGGCAAGACCCGAACATCAAAGTAAAAAGAAACAATAGTCCATCATTATTTTAAGAACTGAAGGAGAGTCAGTCTGGAAATCTGCTAAAACTTTGAATGTGTCCCCAAGTGCAGTTGAAAAAACCATTAAGGGATATGAGGAAACTGGTTCACATCAGGACTGCCCCAGGAAAGGAAGACCCCCTCTTCATAAACTGTTCAGAGGAGACTGTGTGAATCAGGCCTTTATGGTCAAATAGCTGCTAAGAAACCACGACTAAGGAAAAGCAACAAGCAGAAGAGATTTGTTTGGGCTTTGCTGGTGACACTGTTGAGGATTTATTCAAAATTGAAGTCACACTGAACCAGCATGGCTACCACAGCATCCTGCAGCAACATGCCATCCCATCATGTGTTTTTCAACAGGACAATGACCCCAAACACACCTCCAGGCTGTGTAGGGCTGTTTGACCAAGAAGGAGAGTGATGGAGTGCTGATGGCCTCCACAGTCACCTGACCTAAACCCAGTGGAGATGGTTTGGGATGAGATGGACCGCAGACTGAAGGCAAAGGACCAACAAGTGCTCAGCATCTCTGTGGAAATGAGCTTTCTCCAATGATTCGCTGGCCTCTCCTTTAGTGATAAGGTGAGGAGTTTGGCTATTCAGGAGGGGATCAGAGTAGAGCATCTACTCCACATCCAAAGTTGACTTGAGGTGGTTCGGGCATCTGACAAGGATGCCTCCTGGGTGAGGTGTTCTGGGCATCTCCCTGCAGCAGGAGGCCTGTGGGCAGGACATGCTGGAGAGATTATATCTCTCAGCTTGCCTGGGAATGCCTTAGTGCTCCCCTGAATAAGCTAGAAGAGGTGGCCGGGAAGAGGGAGGGTTTCTCTGTTTAGGCTGCTACCTCCATGACCCAGACACGTACAAGCGGAAGAAAATGGATGGGTTTACATGCTCTAATCTATTACTGTTGACATGAATGAGTATGGTGTCAATCTTTGATTCTCCATTCATACTTACAGTTGTTGATGTTTTTTTTCAGTGTCAGAAGTTCAGCTTGTTGCATGTTGATACATTTCGCTTGCTCTCTGATTTTTTCTATTTGAG